GTATACATATCCTATTTTGTATAGGATAGATACATTATTCCTAATGTGGAATGAGTTATTTAATTTTGTTCTTCCATAGCTAACATTTTTTCTATGTATATGCTTTAATGATTTTTTTCTTTATAATTAATTTTGGAACATTTCATTTTCATATGTGTATGAATTTTTTCGTATTTCTGGTACAAAAAGTTCATTTTCTTAGAAATGTGGTGCTATAATTTCAACTAAATTCAGAAATTTTAAATCTTTAAATATTTATTACCTACCCACTTCTACTTTGAGAAGTCTAATTGTATGAATATAAGTTTCATGATTTTGGCACAGAATGAACTATTATATGATTGATCTGTAAACTCTTCTTCATGTTTATTTTAGACAATTTTTATTGTTATATTCACTTAAGTTTGTAAATAGTTTTTTTACAATGTGCAGTCTATTATTAATATTATGTTATACATTCATTTCAGAAATAATTTTCTAAATTTCACTCTGTCCAAATTTTACAGTTTTCACATTTGTCTACATTTTTATTTGCTATAAAATTATTATTGGTTTTCAATTAAGTTCATAATGATTTTTTAAAAAAGAAAGAACCTACTGAATTTTTCTTGTATGAAATTCAACTTCTCTAAGGACATCTAGGGAAAGAAAATGGAGAAAAGAAAAAGCATTTCATATTCTATGAAACTGGAATAAAAATACAAGTGGGCACATTTAAATTAAAAAAAATTATATCAAAAAATAAAAAATACATGGGGCTGGGTGTGGTGGTGTGTGCCTGTAATCTCAGCTCTTGGGAGGCTATAAACAGGCAGATCACTGAGTCCGATCTAGTAGTGAGACCCTGAACACCCTGTAGACCTTTCCTTAAAATAAAAAAAAAAAATTAAAAATTAAAAATAAAAAGACTGGGAAGGCTATTATATTATGAAAACTTCTCAATTCAGTAATAATAATTCAAAATATGTACGTACTTGATATTTTGGTCAGTTGTGTCAACTTTTTCATCTCTCGTTACATTTACTTGAAACTTTATCCCCTTTTTCCTTAGTTACAGTAGCTAAGGACACATATTTTACTTTTCCTGGACTATCAGAATGCCTAAATAAGTACAGCACATATTAACAAATCTGAGAGGAAGGAGTTCAATAACAAAGGACTTTAACATCAACTTGCATCAATGGACTAAATATCCCAGCAGAAAAAAATACCAGATTTAAAGTTTACTGGTGCCCAAGCACATTTACCAAATATTTATAGAATCGTTCTTTCCGGAAATATGTTGCACACACTGTTTTCAACGATGCATGAAATTCTTAAGGATGGAACTTAGCTCTTATGGTTTAGATTTCTATTGTCTCCAAAGCCTCGTATGTTGAGAGGTGGTGGTTTGAGAAGGTCATTGGATGAGTGCACTATACTCACCGGTGGATAAAGTTAATAATGAGCTCATACAGTGCCCGGAGGTGGGGCCTCTTTGAAGGAGGTGGACCGCTGGGGGTGGGACCTGGGTGCTGATAAGCTTATCCCTAGCTCCTCCCTGCTTCTTCACTCTCCGGTTTGATTTTTCCATCAAGCCCTTCCTCTCTGACATTTCTCTCTTGTAGCCATGTGACCACACATGCACTGAACTCACTGAAGCCACAAGCCAAAGCTATAGACGTTGGGTGTTTGTCCCGGATACGGCAGAGTGACAGTTACTACCCTGTGATAGGGCAAATCACGTGTTGATTTCTCAAAATCAAGATCACATCAAGTATGTTTTATGATTTTTTTTTTGTAGAAAACTAACATAGAAATGTAGCACGCCAGAAAAGACAGGGTACAGTGCAGTTTTAGTACAAGGGAAGTTTGTAGTAATTGATGCCCATATACGAAGAAGCAAAACTCTTGGACAACTTATCAGTTCATCTGAAAACTTAGAAAATATGAACAAATAATATCTAAAATTAGTAGAATGTGTGTACTAAAAAAGTAGATCATAGGGCGGGCAACATAAATCAGTGGATTAAAGTGCCTGCTTAGGCAGACACAGGGGCTGGGAGTTCACTCCTTGGCCCTGCTGCGCTGGCTCCGCCTCCAGGGAGCTGAGGAGGTGATTGAGATTGGGTGAGGGGGCGCGCGCCTGTAATCGCAGCACTTGGGAGGCTGTAAATAGAAGGATCACTAGGAGTCCTATTTAGGCAGTGAGACACTGTAGACCCTGTTCTAAAACAAAAAAAAAAAAAAAAAAAAAAAAAAAAAAAAAACCTGAAAGTTATAAACTAGAAAAGCAAGAAAAGAAGAAACTGAGGAGATAGCTCAGCGGACTAAGCGCTGGCCTGGCAAGCGCAAGGAGCCAGGTTTGTCCTGGTTCATTACCATAGGTGGCAGCGACGAGACCTTATTCAAAATAAAGAACAGATTTTTTTTTTTTTAAATTGCATTTATTTTGTATTTTAGGGAAGGGTCCACAGGGTGTTCAGGGTCTCACTACTAGATCGGACTCATAGTGATCCGCCTGTTTACAGCCTCCCAAGAGATGGGATTACAGGTGTGTGCCACCACAGCCAGTCTCAATTGCCCTATCAATGTGCCCCTGGGATGGACTGGCACAGCAGGCCCGGGAATTGAACCTCTAGCCCCTGTGCCTGCTTGTAGGTGCTTTAATCCACTGAGTTATTTAGCTGGCCACTTCCAAATTATTTTCAAATGAAAAAAAAAAGGAGGAACAATTTAAGATTTTGTTTTGTGGAAAAAGTAAGTAATATAGAGAAATCCTTACTACTCAATAAAAAATTGAAAATATTCAAATAAATTGAGAGAAGAAAACGGTAACATTATAATGGACAGTACAGAAGTACAAAATATAATTTCAGAGTATTCCAAACAATGATGCTTCAATAAACTTGCTAACCTAGAGGAAATGAAAAAAGTTCCTGGACATAGAAATTTTAAATAATATTGAATCATGAGAAAATGGAAAATGCCAAACTGACCAGGAACATGGAAAGTGATCACGTTAAGTTGTGGATGGCAATCTAACAAGTAGTTACGGAATATTTGTTAAATACTTTATACATAGTAAGTTTCTGCACTTTATATGAGATATTATAATAAGCTTGTGAAGGATACCTCATCCTCTTCCATGAATGAGGACATCAGGGATGTGTGATATCACATTCATCAAGGTACAAACTGGAATCCTGGCCTATGAATCTAAGGTAAAGTGTGCAATATCATACATTTTCAAGGGGCATATAATTGGAAAGATATTTTTGGGAAGGTACAGAGAATTATTAGCTGACTAATCATGACTCTTTAACATAGTCTTCTTTGTTATCAGCTTAGAACAAATAATCAAGACCTTCATCCAAAGATTATTAGGTCTTTTAATCCATTATCATTTTGCTAACAATCATAACGACTATGCATTAGACAAAGTATTATTGTCTGAGGAAGTATAGGGTACATATCTACGCATCCGACATTGTAGGTGTCCATGCTCTTCCATACACTTGTCCTTTAGCCCTTCCCTTCTCCTGACAGCCTTTAGAATAAAGCTCCATGCCTACAAAACACAGCCTTTCTCATCCTTCCCTCCTACCTAGCGTTTTCTTCTTTAAGTATCCCTAGCACTGTACATATTTCCTCATTATGGTCATATACAGTGGAAGGGCTGCTTTCATTTTTTTTCTTTGACACAGTTTGCACCCTTGGGATAGAATGAATCTCAGTCAAAATCATTTACATGATGACTTCTAGAGGGTTTTCGAAATTCAAACACTGCACATCATAATAGACTGAACATTAATCAATTAATTTTAACTTAGTAATCCAATTAAATTAAAAGAATGCTATTTTTGAGAAAAAAAAACTATTTAAGGTTCCAAAAAACAAATAATCTAATATACAATAATTAATAGAAGTACTGTCAGACTTTTGACTTTCAAAGTCAAATGCAAAGCATGTATCCTATGAGTAAAATTTTACACTGCATCTGTATGTATACAAATATAGTTTGCTTGCCATTATAGAATTTGAAGGAAAGGTTTATGGACAATAATTACATACAAATATAGCAAAATATAAAATTACTCATGCCAATTAAGTAGTCATTCTCTGTTCATAATATAGTATTTGTATATATTTGTATTACTTTAAATATAAACTAAAAATATGACTTATTTTCATAAAAGAAAATTTTTACAAGTATTTGCTTTCCTAGTAAAGATTCAGTTCAACACTACTAATGTTGAATACAATGTGTTACTGGCAATACATGTGATACGAAAAGCTATACTAGTGATTAGGGTGTGTGAGTGAAAAATATATTGATAACTCCAGTCTATAAATATATTCATGTATAGGATATGCTGTATCATGTCTAACATCAGCAAAACAGCAGCAACTTACACAAGGTTAGCCATGTTAATAAAATTGAAGAATTGGTATGAGCCATGATGGGAAGAAGGGGATAACTGAAGAGTGACAAGTGAATCAATAAAAATGTAGCCATATTTGTATTGATTAGTAAAACATAGGCATGCTCAAGACTAGATAAATGGTTATTATCAAAGAAGCTTCACATGTGTGAAAGAAATAAAACTTGATGATTTAAGACAACAGAGGGATGGAAAGAGTCAAATACAACATAATCTAAACTGCAATGACAAGCCATACTGATATATTTATATAATATATATGAAGTTGAATGTTATATATATATATATATATATATATATAGTGTGTGTGTGTGTTTATATTGAAAAAAGCATGAATAAATGATTAGATTCAAATTATGATAATATCTTTAGGGATTATGTGTCTCTCATAACCTACTAAAATATAAATCAAAATCTTTTCCTACAACTATATACAGTAAGTATTATAGAAAAAATATTTATATGTAATAGAAAACAATAAAAGTGAAAAAAATTGAATATTAACAAGATACTGGATGTGAAGGAAGGTATTTCTCTTGAAAAATGTCAGCAGTATAAAGAATCAAGAAATCTAACAAAGACTTTATCTTGATCAAGTGCTGCTCTAAACTTATTTTTCCAGTAGGCCTTGACTCTGGCTTTGCTCTTTCCTATAAGAAAGATGTAATAAGATTTAGACTAGCTACTAAATCCAACATGCAGGCATTCCCCCATTGCTGAATTTCAGTTATCACTGCTGTAGCCACATTTCTTAACCACTACCACCAGGGACAGATTCTTCTTTCCCTACCTGGAGAGAAGAAATCAGTGAGACGCTTACCAATAATACTGCCACCCTGGAGGCTTGCAAACTCCCCTTAGTAATTTTCAAACCATTCAGCTACTGCCCCAAATAAGTACATTTTGTGTTGGTTATTTGTCTTCATTTTTCCTTTTATTAAAGTGAAGCTCTGTACGTCTCCACTATCAAAACAGCCCTGGAAACTGTTAGCAGTAATCTTTTTTTTTTAAATGTATTTGGTGCAAGATCTCACTAAGCTCAGTCTTACAGGGATCCTACTGTTTTCAGCCTCCTTAGTGCTGGGATTACAGGCATGCATCACCGCACCTGGTCTCTGTGGCTGTCTCAGTGGGTCCTGGAGGTAGAGTGGCCCAGGATATTTTCAGGAAT